GGCTTTGCTCCGCAGACCAGGGAGACGCGGAGAAAGCCCTGGAGTACACGGGCGGCAGGACCGCGAGGTCCCGCAGTCCGTGTCTTCCGGGGCGAGCCCCGTTCGTAACTGCGGATCCGACATAAGTCGGATCCGCATAAGTCGGGGACTGCCTGTACTGCAGGCTTTTCCTGGCAGAAAGTATGCTGATGAAGTGCTCATTAGCATTTGTCGAGCTGTAATTTGCATATTCTCTGCTGATGCTTTTTGCACAAGAGGTTTTTGTGCAAAAACAAGCAGTGTAGATGGGACCATTTTGTGCAAAAAAACCCCTTTAATGCAAGATACTTATGCCTCAAAAAAGAAGGTATCAGGATCTTGTGCAAAAAGCATCGGCAGAGAATATGCAAATGACAGCACGACAAATGCTAATGAGCGCTTCATTAGCATACACTCTGCCGGCAAAAGCCTGCAGTGTAGACATAACCTTAGACAACTTCTGTTTTGTGAAGTGGTCTGGATTTTGGCCCATAGTGTTGGTTTTTGCTTTTTGTTTTGGTCTTCCTGCACCCAATACATCATTAGCATCTCTTCCAGTGGCAACCATATTAGGGATGGTCAAACAATGATGAATATATTCTCCAAAAACTTGAAAGCAAAAAGTCTGATGGATTCACTGTGTGACCCTCAGCAAATTACGTCACCTCTGGCACCTTATTTTGTCCATCTGTAAAATGCAAATAATATTTACCTCCCTCACAGGGGTTTATGAAGCCACTTAATTAAAGGCAAGACCAGTGGTCTCCAACCTTTTTACACCCAAGATCACTTTTTAAATCTCAGAACAGGCGAAGATCTACCGCCCCGCCCCTTCTTTGAAGCCCCGCCCTCTCTATTCTCCTGTCCATCACTTGCTGAAAGCCACAGTCAGCTAGCTGGGGTGTTTCAGCCCTCCCAGCTCCTCACCTGTGTTGTTGCTCGGTGAGTAGCTGCTCCTCAAATGAGGAAATCAAATGTAAATGTCC